GCCCCGGCCCGGTACCGGTTCCGGCCCCGCTACCGGCGCCGCTCCTCACCCGCGGCTCGCAGCGCTTGGCGCTGTACGGCGGCTCCCCGGCGCCGCCGCCCGCGCCCCTCGCCCTGCTCGGCGCGAACACCGAGTCCTCGAACTCGCAGCCGAGCGGCAGCTCCATGACGGCCCGCGGCCCGGGCGCACCATAGAGTGCCGCCCAGAGCGGCCCCGCGCCGGGGCTAGCGCGCCCCCTGCTGGGCCGCCGCGCTGGCCGGGAGCGGAGGCACCGAGCTGGGGGGCGGCGCTGGCAGCGCCATGTTGGGTGAGGGCGGCGCCATGTTGGGTGAGGGTAGCGCCGTGAGGGGGCAGCGTTGGCAGCGCCATGTTGGGTGAGGGCAGCGCCGTTGGGGGGGAGGCAGCGTTGGCAGCGCCATGTTGGGTGAGGGCAGCGCCGTGAGGGAGGCAGCGTTGGCAGCGCCATGTTGGGTGAGGGCAGCGCCGTGAGGGAGGCGATGCTGAGGGTGTCCGTTCGCCCGCGCTGCCGCCGACCGGGCACGTGGGGCCGATCCGAGGGCTCCCTCGGGCTCCCGGGCCTGCCGCGTGGTCGGCGGCACCGAGCTGTGGCTGTGTCCGTGGCCGTTCCCTGCCTCGCGCCGGTGCCCCACGCTCAGCGTGGGTTACGCTCCGCTTTGCAGGGGCTCCCGTCTGGAACGGGCTGCTGGGCACCCCTGGCTGCCGTGCGGATGGAGGGAGGGTCAGCGGAAGAAGGGAGGGATGAATTTGCCTCGGTSGGAGCTCTCCTTGCGCGGGGTTTTGAAAGACTTTCTGTCAGGAGGATTTTTTTCCCTCTCTTTCCGACGGGCTACGTGCTGACAATGCTTTTCCCTGCCAGCATCACTGTGACTACCCGTGGTCTCAGCTGACGTAAATCCCTGGAGTGGAACCCCAAGCTGCAGCCGGTAGATTGGCTCAGAAGAGGGGATGGGGCTGCTTTTGGCCYTGGTAAATAAAGGCTGCCGAGCTCCCCTCCTCGGGGAGGCCGGGCACGAAGGAGACGCTGCGACGGATCCAAGCTGCGTGCCTGGKGCTCCTGGGGCGCATCCGGAGCAGCCTGGATGCGCTGCCGTGGCAGACAACCCCGAGGATGGTGATCCAGGCTGCAGACGCTCCATTTTGCAGAGCGGGGAATGACCGTGGTAAAGGAGAGGAGAGAAGCCCTTCCCGGCACCGTGTGCGGGCCCGGCTGCTTCTCCCAGCAGTGCTTGAGCTGTAAGGACCAGGCAGGAGATYGTAGTCCAACCCCCTGCTCCAGCAGGGACACCCAGAGCACGGGGCACAGGGCGGCATCCAGGCGGGTTAGGAGACCTCCAGAGAAGGAGACTCCACAAACTCCCTGGGCCGCCTGTGCCAGGGCTCTGGCACCCTCACGGGAAAGAAGTTCCTCCTCTCTCACATGCAGATGCAACTGCCTGCGTTTCAACTTGTACCCATTGCCCCTTGTCTGTCACTGGCCACCACTGAGAAGAGCTTGGTCCCTTCCTCCCTACATTCACCCTTCAGGTATTTATACACACCGATCAGATGCCCTCTCAACCTTCTCTTCTCCAGGCTAAACAGGCCCAGCTCACTCAGTCTCTCCTAATACGAGAGATGTTCCAGTCCCTCAATCATCTTTGTTGCCTTTCGCTGGACCCTCTCTAGAAGCTCAAACAAACAGAGGAACTCAAATGGCTTCTGACTCCTGAAGGGAAAAACCCACAGCGCTGCCCCAGGGTGAGGAAAGCAGATCCCTGGGACAGGGATATATTCCTTGTGTTCCCTGGGACACGGAGGAGGACACGTTCCTCCAAAAGACAACGCATTGGCCTGATTACCTTAAAACATCTCAAGCTGATCAAGCCCTTTGTGATTCATGGCCACACTCCTTCCCCGTCGTGGCCTCACAAAACCCAGGACCCTGTTGTCACCAGGAGGCTGCAGGGAACACGGACACGCTCAGCTGCTAATTTCCCTTTCCTCTCTTTCCTCCCCACGCGTCCCAGAAGCTGCAGCCTCACATGAGCGGCTGCTCCTGMAGGACATCATGGAAGCGGCTGGGTTTGGAACCGAGCTGCCTTCCCATGGGATCGCTGTCCTGGAGGAGCAGAGCAGGATGAATCCAAACAACTGGGGAAAAAATAAAAAGAGAAAAATTTCTCCAAAAAGAAATGGAGAAATAGATCCAGAATTCCCTAGAACGACCCTCACAGCCTGTGGTCTTCTCAGTCTCGGTGTCTTTTTCCATATGGAGACTGACAGGGGGGCTGCTTTGCAAGGGAAACAAACTTGGGTTTTTTKGGGGGGGAAACTTTGGTTTCCCAGGCAGCTCCTGATCCAGTGGGAACTGCTATGGAATGTAGCTCTCCTGGCTGCAGGCTTGCAAGGGCGATGGGAGCACAGAACGCAGGAGGGGCCCTGGCTCAAGACGAGTTTCGCTTCCAGTGACTTGGCGCAGGGGGAATAGAGCAGAGTGAAACGCACGTGTTGGCGAGCGCCGCTGTGAGCAGTGCGGCCGGCGGGACGCCGCCGGCTCCTCCAGGCGGGAATGGGAACGGGAGCGGGGCCGCCGGCGCTCACGGTGCCGTCTCCTCCATCGCAGGACACGTCAGGCACCACAGGCGCCTCCGCAGGGCCCCTTCCCCGCGGGTCCCTCCGCGCAGCTCTCGCTCCGGTGCTGGAGCTCAGTTAGGAAACTGCAAATCACTGAGAAGGAGAATTACTGCCAAACACTGACCTTTATTTTCGCCCAAAGAAACAAATCGGCTACGCGAGACAATTTCTCTCCCTTTTCCTGTCTTTTTTCTCTCTCTTATCAAATAAATATTTAAAAATAATAAACCTGGGCTCGGCACCGAGCCTGTAAGGAAGCACACACGGGAAAGGAATTATTCACAGTACTAACAGTTCAACATTATTGCAGTAGAAACATATAAATATATTCCAAAGTGAAGCGTATAAATGTATTCAAAGGTTTCATTTTACAAGATTGGAAGTGCAACAAGTCCTTTAACAACCCCAAAACGTTAGAAGCCGCTGAGGCCGCCGCCAGCAGGGTTTCAAAGCCGAGCAAACCCGCAGCGAGCAGTTTAGCCCCACTCAGGAGATCAGTGCACGGCGTAAAAAAAATAAAGAAAAATAAGGCAGCGCACAGAGCGGCTCCGTATTTTCAGTCATTAAAAATGGCATTGGATGCTCRTATGAAAATGAAGGGAAGGTGGAAGGGGCAGGGAAGGGAGGACTCGGAGAGGGGAAGCAGCCCACAAGCCAGCTGGGAGAAACACTGAGTCGCAGCACTCCAGAATCACRGATAAAGCACCAAATAGAAAAGGTAACTGTGTGAAAATGCCAAATCCGGCGCTTCTCAGCATCCCCCATCGGCTGGCAGCTCCTTAGGTAACGATTTTTCTGTTTTCTTTGCTGAACTGAGTACAAGGGGCGAAGACCAGGCCTAGCCCCGGCCGTGGGCGCTGGTCCGCGCCCGTAGCTCGCGCTGCTCTCACGCTCTGCTTTGTTTTTGATCACGTAAGGCGGAGGGGAGAAGGGGCCACGTGCAGGTACAGGCGTTTTTCTGGTGCAGGGAGCCCGGCAGCGGTGCCCGGGGGGACGTGGGGCTCCGTGCAGGCCTTGG